GTCCTGCAGATTCCACGCAGCTCCCCACCACCTTGACAGAAAAACGCTCACCTCCCCAACAAGCACCCTCCTCGACCTCTGAGCACAGCTGTACTGGCACCTCGGGGAAAGTATTGGCAAGTCAGCCTGCTGCACCCCCACCAGCCCATAGACTGACACCTTGTGGGGGGGAGCATTAGGCATAAACAGTGTGGGAACAGAGTCTGGGGAGCACCTCAGTGCGGCACTTCTGCACCCGGCTGAGGAAGAAATGCCCCTGGTCCCTGGCACATGGAGGGCTGCCAGAGTCCAGACACCTGCTCTGCCCCAGGCAGGAGAGGACTCTGTGGGGTTGGCAATCAGATGTCAGAATGTCCAGGGAGGAACAGGAGAGGCAGACAGGGATGTGGGATGTAAGGTAAACACATTTTCACACCATCCGGCAGCTCTTTATCGCCACAGACGAGGCTCAGTGGATGGAGGACGCACTGAGAATTCACAGCACCATCTGGAAGCAAAAGGTACAAGGTGTTTACATGGCACTGGGTCACGCTGACATCTTTCACCCTCCTCATTGAACATCCTGTTGTTCTGTTCCCTCTGTGCACAAAGATGTAGGTGTCAATGTGTTATCCTGTGGTGGCTGTGACAGGGAGGTGAAACTCAGAGAGGCTCAATGCTGTGCGATGGCCAGGGAGGAAGCATCCTGCTTACCCGTTCCTGTATGTCGCGTGGGGCCTCTGGCCAACGTTGTTTCTCAGTGAGTGTGACAGCCCCCTGCCTCACAGAGTGATCCACGTACCACACCCTCTCCAAGTGTGACCACAGCCGTTTCCTTTCTTTTTGTTCATTCATGGGATGAGGGTGTCACTGGCTAGGCCAACATTTATTGCCCATCCCTAATTGCCCGGAGGGCAGTCAAGAGCCAACCACATTGCTGTGGGTCTGGAGTCACATGTAGGCCAGAGCAGGTAAGGATGGCAGTCTCCTTCCCTAAAGAGCATTAATGAACCAGTTGGATTTTTCCTGACAATTGGCAAAGGTTTCATGGTCATCATTATACTCCTAATTCCAGATTTTAATTGAATTCAGATTCCACCATCTGCCATGGTGGGATTCGAACCAGGTCCCCAGAACATTACCTGGGCCTCTGGATTAATAGTCCAATGATAATACCACCAGGGCATTGCCTCCCCTTTTCTTGCTTATTGCACACTTATCGATTTCCAGCGCGATGGAAGGTGACAGTGAGGACTTGCAGCCTCAGCCTAACTGTGTCAGTGAGCCTCCAAACATCCACATCCTCTTCCTGGTAGTCCATCTTGTTAACCCTACAGGCTTCACCCTTCCCCAAGTCTCACCCACCTCCATAACCTATCTACATGTGCCTGGACATGCCCACCTTTCCTAGCCAGCCACTGGATATCAGGTGACTGCCTGTTCACTCTCTCCTCCACCTCCCCCCCACCCCCCCCCCCCCCCCCCCCCAACCCTTACCAACCCGGCAAATGATACCAGAATGATCCTGATCATTAACAACCAATCTCCCTCCCACCTACATTATACCTTTCCTGAATGTACCTTACTGTACCCCAGCTTGGAAAACACTTGCCCTTTCATAACCTGAAATGCTGGATAGTGGTGCGCTGAATCTCAGTCCCTCAGTTACATGTCTGCCTGCTTGCTGCACATGTGCTGGGTTTGCTGCACAAGCTGCTGGTGCATGGTGTCAGTGTGAGATTGATGTAGTATAGTGCTGTACAGCAAGATGTGCAAAAATCCACCATCCCAACTGACAACTGTTTGGCAACAAAGCAACTTCTCTGTTTTTGTGACTGTGCTGTTTGGCATGGCACGGCAAGGCAGAGATACTGTGAGCACGGAGATAGGTGCTAAGTGAGCAAGCACTAAGAGAGCAAGCAAGCATCCCAGAGATGAAGCCTTAGTGCAGTCTGTGTGTTGGGTGTCTGGGCACACAGTGTCCATGCTGCAGCCTTTAGCTGCTAGTTCCCAGTGTACCCTGCAGTGCAAGTCTGTGCTTCCAGAGCACACTACTAGTGCATCAGAGAAGTGCCAGGCTATTTGTGATGACTTGGTAGATGATGGATGCCAGTGTCCATGGAGGAGGGGTGTATGCGGTGGGTACCTGTGGATCATGGCCTGAGCTGTAGCTTGATCTTAGGCATCACGGAGATCATTCAGACTATGCAGCGAGCTGAGTCTGCTAGATACGTATTCTGGTTTCGTTGTCAAGTTTTCCTGGTGTCAAATTTGTCTGCTTAGTTTGGTCAAATGGGAGGCTGAATATCAGTGAATTAGGGTGTTAACAAGGCACTTAATAACCATTAACAACAAAAACAGAAGTTGCTGGAAAAGCTCAGCAGGTCTGTCCGCATCTGTGAAGAGAAATCAGAGTTAACATTTTGGGTCCGGTGACCCTTCTGCAGAAGCATTGTTAAACCTAATCCTCATCAATCAGTATCTCACTGCTACCTGATGAGCATTTCACCATGCTGCTTATGAAGAGCATTAAAGATGGTGCGAGTTGCTCCAGGTATTGAGATTGGTCTCGCTGCGTTTGTCGTCAAATCCTGCCGTCAGATCCCAATAAAATTTTGTTGCACTTCACTTATTCTCAAATGATTATAAGCAGCTTTCAGAATATTCCTGGCTTTTCAGTTTCCTGATTTCCATGTATCCACAAAATCTAAGAAGCAGTGTCTTCCAAAATCAAAAAAAAATGAAGATTATATTGCAAATCATGGTTTGTAGTGATATCTCCAAGTACCTGTAAACCAAAAAATTACTTTTGGTTGTTTTCAGCATTTGCTTATACTTTTGATATTTTTGATAAGTAGTGAATAAACAAGCCTATGTGAGGTTGTGCACTTTGGCAGGAATAATAGAAGGGCTGAATATTTTATAAATGGGAAAAGCCTTCAGAGAGCTGCATCACATAGATATTTGGGGGTCCTCATGCATGAATCACCAAATGTCAGCATTCGAGTTCAGGTAATAGGGAAGGCAAATGGAATGTTGGCCTTTATTCAAAGACTGTGCTTGCTGACACTGAGGATCATGTACAGTATACTCCAGGGAGATGATTGCACATGCATTCCTGAATGAGATCCTTGAAAAGTGTGTGCATGCAAGTTGTTATAAGCGGGCTGGCTGCCACTACTCTCTCAAATTCTGTCATAACACACTCTCACACATACATGAATGTACATACATGTGCATTCATTGTCACGTGCACATTTACACACACTGCCTGAGGCTTACACCTGCTTAGTCGATCAGGGCACTGAGAGTCCGAATACACTTCCTTATTTAAAATGGAATGGAGTATAAAAATAGGGAGGCCTTGCTAAAACTATACAAGGCACTAGTTAGACCACAGCTGGAATACTGTGAATGGTTTTGGGCTTTTATCTCGGGAAAAGCAGTCTGGAGGCAGACTGGAGAAGGTTCACCAGGTTAGTTCCAGATATGGAGGGATTTTCTTATGAGGAGAGGTTGAGTAGATTGGGATTACGCTAATTAGATTTTGAAGAATGCAAGAAAAAACATGTAACATTCTTAGAGGCTAAGGCAGGATAGATGACGAGAGTTAATTCCCCTTGTGAGACAGTCTAGGGACTAGAGAGCATAATCTCAGAATATGTGGTCATGCATTTAAGACAGAAATTAGGAGCTTTTTCTTCCTCTTGGCAGTTAGATTGTAAGATATCGGAGCAGAATTAAGCTATTCGGCCCATTGATTCTGCTCTACCATTCAATCGTAGCTGATATGTTTCTCAACCCCATTCTCCTGTCTTCTCCCTATTACCCTTAATCCCCTTACTAATCAAGAACCTATGTATCTCTGTCTTAAATACACTCAATGACTTGGCCTCCACAGCCCTCTGCAGCAATGAATTCCACAGATTACCCACCCTCTGGCTGAAGAAATTCCTTCTCATCTCACTTCTAAAGGGTCGTACCTACACTCTGAGGCTGTCAAGTCCTAGCCTCTCCAACTAGTGGAAACATCCTGTCCACATCCACTCTACCCAGGCCTCACAGTATTCTGTAAGTTTCAATCAGGTTAGTGAATTTGTGGACTTCTTCAGACAAGTGTCGAGGCTGGGTTGTTAAGTATATTCAAGGCTGAGATACTGTAAGAGAATCAATGATTATGGGGATAATGCTGGAAAGTGGGGTTATTATCAGACCAGCCACGATCTCATCAAATGGCAGAGCAGACTTAATGGGCTCAATGGCCTGCTTCTGCTCCAATGTCTTATAGCCTAGCAAATCCAAATGCTAATCCTAGTTATGAAATAGGAAATATTGGCTTCAGTAGTTGCATTCTGGAGCTAATCTTCACAATTATAATGTTTTTGCGGGTACTTTAAGAATAAGACAAAATCTCTTTCATTATATCTTTGTTCTATGAAACTAGTTATAAAATATTTGGGTTAAATGACAACCAACTTGTTGCTGATTGGTTTGGTTTGTTTTTGGATGATACAGAATATAACTAATTCATTAATGTCTTCAATGCATGCTGTCAGACACATGAATTTGTTTGGCAAACTGCACCGACAACTCAGTTAGTGTTATATGTAACACAGAATAGTAGGACAGGAGTTTGTATCTTCATTCCAACATGGTGCATCTTAGGTATTGACCAGGACGTCAAAGGAAGCATTTCCTTTGTGCGGCCTTGTTTTCCCTTCACAATGCAGATGTTCTCTCCAATGAAAGTCTAGCCTCCCTTTTACTTAGAAAACCATGTGTGGACAGACAGAGAAAGCCAGAGGGAGAGGGTGATACCATCCAGCATTATATATCTTAACTTTTGTTAACATGTCTTCAGACAATATGATGAAATAAAGTTGTAATTTTACTTTTAAGCAACTCTTATGGATCAATCTCTAATTGTTTGATCACTTCAACAGCCCCATTATTGATATTGATTAGTTCAGCATTCTCTATTTTCTAATCCCTGTCTTGATGAGATATTCTGTCATTTTCAGCTTACAATGATAAAATTGTAGCATTTCTGCGTCAACCAAACATCTTTGAAATTCTTCAAGAGCGCCAGCCAGACCTTATCAGGAATCACTCACTCAGGTAATCCCATTGATTGTCGAAGTGGTGGTACTGGTTGTGTCATGCTGTATGTTTTTTTTTCTCTGTACAGTTATCCCTGATAATTTAGAGCTGGCAGCTATACCGCAATATTTCATAGGAATTCTCCAGGACAATTTCTTAAAGTGATGTGGGACTTAGTGTTAAGGATTTAGGAAAGATGGGGAAGGAACACCATTTAACTCATCAAGTTCTTCCTTTTCACAACATACAGCACACTGTCTCGTGGAATCTGCCCAATGCATTAAAGGAAACGCTTTGCACACAGTCTGATCCCAAAGGCTTGAGAGCAAAATGCAAACACTCGTTATCTTATTACTGTCATTGATACATTATATATCCTTGACTAGTTGCTTTCTTTGACAGATCTGTTTCCCACAGTGGTATTGAATAATTTCAATTTATCCTTAACTTCCACTCCTAATCAGAACCTCCAACTCCTTTTAAAAATGTTAATCAGCAAGTCATGACTGCATTAATTGAAAATTGCTATGCATAGCCATTACTTTATCTGAATTTTTCAATATAAAAAATCTTGGTGAGTAAATTTTTCTGATCTTCAGTGATGTTTAACCCTGTTATTGTTCTGCTTTCATTGTCTAATTCTCTGTCTGTAAAATCATAATCATTACCTTAACATTTTAAAAAAAAATCATATTTCTACTCTACCATCTCTTCTGTTAGGTTGGCTAATTTTGTATGTTATATGTCATATTTAACCTCTTCAGTGATCTGTATAACAACAGTATGACCTTTCTCAGATTTATTCTTAGATGTCCTTGAGATGCACCTTTAATTATAAATGTCTTTAGATACTTCAGCTGAATTGTGATTCATTAGTTTTTCTGTTATAGCACATTTCATGTTTTCATTTCAAATGTTCCTTTCATATGGCAACATGGTTTGATGCCTTCAGCAAATTGTGAAATATTATGCAAAAGTATCTGTATTACTAACAGTGCTGTTTGAAAGGACTTTGCCAAATCTGCATTCATTGTTTTAGAAAAACAAATATAAGGCAGATAACAAATATAGCACTTTTCATTGATCATAGAAGGTTGAGGGGTGACCTTATTGAGGTTTATAAAATCATGAGGGGCATAGATAAGGTGAATGACAAAGGTCTTTTCCCTAGGGTAGGGGAATCCAAAACTAGGGGGCATATTTTTAAGGTAAGAGGAGAAAGATTTAAAAAGGTCATGAGGTGAAACTTTTTTACACTGGGAGTGGTTTGTGTGTGGGACGAACTGCCAGTGAAAGTGGGGGATGTAGGTACAGTTACAATTTATAAAAGATATTTGAATAAGTTCATGAACAGAAAGGTTTGGAGGGATATGGGCCAAATGCAGGCAGACGGGACTAGTTTTGTTTGGGAACATGGTCGGCTTTAACTAGTTGGACCAAAGGGTCTGCTTCCATGCTCTATAACTCTGTGACTGTAATTTTCACAGGCTGCTGGAAGTGTGTTTACATCATTCAAATTTTACCTGCACTTTACATGGACAGGTAATGGGACACTACAGAATGATTGCGATGTAAACAAAATATCCTTAATGTGTGAAGAATTTGATTGTGAAATTGTTAAGGAGGAATACATCAAAAAAGAACAATAGACTGGAAAATTTCTGTACAGCTTGTGTGTAAGAGCAGCTTTGTATCTTTTCATTCAAGGAAATTTATTCATAATGCATTTATATCTGTTTTATTTGGAAGTGTCACAATATGCAAAATACTCTGATCATTTGCATTACTTCAGACATGAATGTAGCTCTGCCCCAGTTAGAGATCACTGTATTACAAAGGTTCTGCCAGCCTCTATATGCTGATTCTTTACTCTCCACTAATCCCTCTTGCCCTTTTCCCATCCATTCCACACCAAGCATTTAGATGAACTAAGTGGCTACAATAGTTTTTTCCAAACAATAGGACCCAATCATAGAAAAAGGAGAGGAGCAATATTTCTACTTAACAATTTATAAGTGAAAATCCTCACACATTAAGGACATTTTGTTCCAATTACTGACATTTTGCAGGTGTCTTGTTGATTCTAAGTGATTGTGAGCTTAGTATATTAAAACTGAAATGCACAATAACAAAAAAAATGCAAGGGCAAAAGTTATCAATTGAATGCTTTCCAGCTAACTTTGATTAGCGACATTGCTAGTTTACTTTTGAGGGAGGCCTGTACCATTTGCCAACTAATGCCATACTGAACGTCAACTGCTTTAGTCCACTGCTGGAGGCTACTTACTTTGCACAGCGAGTCTATGAAACCTAGGCAGGAATTGGCCTTATCTGAGCAACAGATGTATTCCCTTGCACTGGGTTATATAGTGGAAATCATCCACTATATGTATTGGAGGCCAATATGTATTGGATAAGATACTTCATGAAATGGAGCCACAGCAACTTAGAAGATTTTTGGAAATTCACAAAGGCTATTTGATTTTGAAAGTAGGAAGAGAGTTGCTTAGTCTGTTGGCTGCAGTTCCACATTGGCAGAAATAGTGTAGATTTTCACAAACAAAAACGAGTGCAAGTGCAGAAGGACTAATAACGAATAAGAAGGATTGGACTTTTAAAAAGATGGATCATGTATTTTAGATAATGTGTGGTTCAAAAATTGGAAGTCTTGGAGTTTGCTGCATGGATTGGTTGGACTGAACAGCCTGTTTCTCCAGCATATGTGGTGTGGAAAAGCTACAGATCTGAATACATCTTGACAGAAGCTATGTGAAAAGTTTGTGTGTGTGTGTGGTTTACATTTTGAATTTTTTTAAATATAAAGTTGGTCTTGTCATCCTGGATGTTTATTTCATCATTTTCTGTCACATACACTATAAATCTCACAATGAGGTGGAATGTATCCTGTCACGTTTGGTTGAAAATGTTACAGTCTTGTCTGTCATTGATTTAAATGCACATGTGGCCCATCAATTCTACATTGCACTTCAGAATGAAGTAGCAGTTCTTGTGTTCTGGTGCATACCTGTAAAGGTTGGCTTTGGTAGCGAAGCATATTATGAACATGAAATCTTGCATTTGATTTCTTGTCCAATATAATTTAATGCAATTATAGAATAGAACCATAAATTTATTACGACACACATGGAGGCCATTTTTCCTATCATGTCTATGCTAGCAGTATGGAAGAGCAACCTAGTTTGCCCCATTCCCCTTCCTTTTCTCCATTACCCTGAAAAATGTTTTCTCTTTAAACTGATTATGCAGTCCCTTGTTGAAAGCCACAATTGAGCCTATGTGGGCACTATGTTCCAGATTCCAACTGTTCACTTAATTTAAAAAAAAATTTATATCATTTTGCCATTACTTGCTTAGCCAGTCACCCAGATTGTTTGGCACTGGTTCTTGATCCCTTCAAAGCAGGAACAATTTCCTCTCCTGTCCAGATTGTTTTATGAATAAAGCAGATAGTGTTCAATGAAATAAGTACACCTTGTTACAATAGTGGTAAAAAGGACTATCAAGTTTTAATGCCCATAATTTGATTGTTATACCTGAGATCTCTTGTAGATTAAATTCTTTTAACAAAACAATAAATGCTGATTTAAAATGGCTGTGACCGTCATCTGACCACAGATTGAGGCAAGTCCAGGAGATCAATATGGAATAAAAAAACTGTCTGCAATGAAATTATCATCTTATATGAAGTCATTGAAACTAGGCAACTGAGTAATTATCAAGAAACTCAGATTTGTATCTGTTCTTTTAATTCACACTTGCGTGATCATTTTAATTATTGGGAGATGAAAGGTTTGCCTGCCAGTTAGCCGGCCTTGAAAGATAACGAAACTAGACTCAGGAATACACACTGAACTGTATTTCAACAGCTATTTTGAGCAGCAGGGCAGAGAGAAGGTAAGTCGATTCATTGGCAAGAATTGAAAGACTCTGTTTCTCTCACCATCAGGAACGATGCATTCAGTGATAAAAGATATTGAATAAACAACCTTTCATCAAGAACTGTAAGATATCTATAAACTGTGTCACTGCTGGTACTGCCACTCAACAATTAAACAACTGTGGTCTCAAGTTAACACAGTAACACTTCAAGGATGAAGGACTTTTAAACGGTGTAGCCGTTATTCTATCTCATAACAGACAGCCTCCCCTTTTAAACATATTATTTCTGTTTGTGTGTAGTTGATGTTGTGATTTTATCTTTTCTCAGCATTAGTAGGTGAGAAGATTCTCCTTTCCTTCACTCGAGAAAACCTTGTAATTGGCTCATTATTTTTTAATCTCATTAACTACCGTTTTAATTGAAGTGTGATGACTGTGTGCAAAAAATGAAATTGACCAACTGAGAAAGGTTTAAAGCGAGGGAAACTGAAACATACAACCAGTATAATTCATTTTGTGAGTGCTATTCGAATAATGCATTTTCACTAATTTAAGCAATTTAAAACTTAGAAAATAAATAGTTGAATCACTCTAGCTGTTAAAATGCTGGACTGCACTGGTGCAAAAGTACAGCAGAGGGGATAGACAATTTTATTTCATCACAGATCTGTCATCAGTACCATAAAATGTATGACTGCATTGGCTAATTTTGGTACCTGAGGTTAGTTACCAAAAATAGGATTGTCGTCAATGAAAGGAAGTGTTGGAAAGCCCCTGTTGACAGGTAGCACACAGGATACTGAAGTAAGTAACTTGCATGACATTAGTGTGTCAAACATCTTTATCAAGCAATGATGACAGACCTAGGTGTGATCATCGCAAAGTTTTGCTTTGTCTATTTTGGGCTTTTCAAAGTCTTCGTGTTATATATTGCTTAGTAGTTTTCAAAGAATAATATTGAATTAATTGACCACGTCCATAGGGAGAAGATCCAGTTTATCAGAAACGAGGGAACTAGTGGATTGGGGCGCTTATCCAGTGATGCAGATCTTGTTATGCTATTAAGGTAGGTGCATCACATGTGACTGCTGAATGTACCTTGTGAAAAAGATGTTGTACATTGTGTCAAAAGTTTAACTGTTCCTCTAGGGCCATGTATTGACTGGCAGAAAACATGATTATTGAATAACATACATCCATCTAATCGAGTTGCAGCTTAATTGAGACTGGCATATTTAAAAGGGCTTGAGGGATGGCTAGTTTGAAAGCTTGATCACTTAGTCCCTGCTGGCTGAATTTCTGATCTGAGTTGCACTCAAATAGTGAACAAAATCCAATTGTTTCAAGTTAGATTTGAGAAAAAAAGTGAAAAATACTTGTCTGTCCTCACACCTGGATAGTCTGTGTCAGAGTTGACATTATAGCTATGTAACTGCTTGCTTCTTCGGTTTTGATAATACACGGCAAAGGAAGGCCTGAGAAAAGACCAAACTACATTAAGTATAGCAGTGACTTTCAAAATGTGTACTATAAAAAATTTAATGGTTCAAACAGCTAATTATAAAATTAGATAGTGTTAATTTCATAATATCAGATCTCTGTGTTTTCCCATTGGAAGCTTGAGGAATTTCAGATGATTTATTCTGTAAAGGAGTTTTAAATTGTCCCTTAGTTTTGAGTGATAAGTTACTTGTTTCATGCATTCTTACCTTGTACCACCAATGGTTTTGACAGAACTGGCATTAGAGTAGGTGAGTAAAAGATTCTTTAATTGGAAGTGAGGCAGGTTAAACAGTTACGCGTGCTTTCTTGAAGTGTTGCATTTTCAAATGCTCTGGATATTCTAGTTTTTCAGACCAGATGATGATTTTAGCTAGTGTTGTCTATGCTGCTACCAATACTTTCTACGTATATGTTCTCTGAGTCCTTGTGATCTATCTGGTTCTTTAATGGCCTTTAGAGAAGAAAATGTATTGTCCTTTACCTGACCCAGATATGAATCTGGATCCACAGCAATGTGGTTGATTCTCAACTGCCCTTTGAAATGATCTAGCAAACTATCCAGTTCAAGGACAATTAGGGATGGCCAACTATGGCCACATCCTATGAAAGGAAATAAACCCAGTATTTCCTTTATTCCAACATAGCTGACCTCTATGATTCTGATCATCATTGATGTTCCACCATGAGTTGATGGAGCCTTATAAAAGCTTCTACCACCTTTGACTTCTTGTAGGTTAACAACTTTCACCCATTTGATTATGATTGAGATCAGTACGCAACTTTCTACTCAGAAGTGAGAATTCATGGTTGTGAAGTACATATAGTTTTTGTACAATTTCATATTCCTTGCGTCGGACCGTTGCTTGTAACTTATCTTTAAATGTTATGCCCCGGATCATGTAGTTGTGCTCCTGTTGACTGTAGACAACGTTTTCTTAACCAAGACTCACTTTCCAACCACAGATCATAACCCCAGATCACCTATGACCACATTAAACTTTAATTCTAAAATGTGGTTTTCAGAAGAGGACTTGCAGCCAAAATGATTCTGGATGTATACTCAATGGTTGACTGGGGTGGGTGAGCCTGAGGTGTCATACCTAACAAGGTGTCAAGGAAGCTTCAAAGGGATAGATGTAAAAGGGAGCAGTGCACCACAAACTGAATTGTAATTCTCCATGAGTAAATTAGACATGCTGGTAAAAGAAGACAGCAGTCTGAGTGAGGGGTATTTTTCCATTTTCTCCTTTCAGGAATACACAGGGACACAGATTAGAAGTGAGCTTCAACTCTGGTTTATGGGGCGGCATGGTGGCTCAGTGGTTAGCACTGCTGCCTTACAGTGCCAGGGACCCGGGTTCGATTCCAGCCTTGGGCGACTGTCTCTGCTGAGTTTGCACGTTCTCCCCGTGTATGCGTGGGTTTGCACTGGGTGCTCTGGTTTCCTCCCACGGTCCAAACATGTGCAAATCAGGTGGATTGGCCATGCTAAATTACCCATAGTATTCAGGGATGTGCGGGTTAAGCATGAGAAATGCAGGGTTACAGGGATGGGTCTGGGTGGGATGCTCTTTGGAGAGTCGGTGTCGACTTGTTGGGCCGAATGGCCTGTTTCTGCACTGTAGGGATTCTAAAAATAAGTCTGTTAGTGGCCTGATATTTGTGTGTGCCCTGGTATGCTGTGAAGGTCACAGCTTTGAGAACAGCCATTAAAAACCCCTGCACTGAAGGCAAAGAAAAGGAAAATATGCTGTTTTTGTTCTGAGTGCTGCCAGCCAGCCCCTGGACAAAGGAATTTCAATCAACCTGCAAAGCCAAGGATCACAAAATCAACTGTTCTCTCCCAGTGTCACTGCTGCCGATAACATCCATTTTAATATATGGAACATTCGACTATCTACTCTTCACAAATAACTCATAGACCATTTTTTATTTAAACTTTGTTCTCATTTTGGAATTACTTCTAATCAAAGATTTCTAATTGGTGTGTATATGTGTTCCATTGTTATTTCTTCTTGAGTTTAGTAACAAATAAACTCACCGTTTTGGTAACTCAAAAAAAATCTGGTTAAATCGGCACCTTTTTAAGGCATAAATCCATTTCGTCTGGGAGAAAGATATCACAAGGGAAGGGATTCTTTTGTAAATTAACCTGTTGCAACCAACCCAGGGGAGATATGAATAAAGAAAGGGTACCAGTATATCCTTCTACACCATGAGCTGGCACGTGTTGAATGCCAATGTCCATGGATGTGGTGTGCGCATATGGTCAATGACCTGAGAACATGGAAATCCTTTGGAGAAAGCAAAGAGCTGAAATCACCAGGTCTGATCTCAATGTCGAGGAGTCTCTGCATCTGGTTTGCTTGCGGCTAGTACAATAGAAAGCTGCATATTAATGAGGTGAGATCTGCAAATAAGCAACTCACCACTGCTTAGTGAGAATCTACCTTGATACCTGGAACTCAGTCAAAAGATGCGGCGAGTTGTTGCCCAAGACTAGGTCCTCCTAACAGTCTCTGTAATAATCTACACCATATCCTTCAAACATGTGAATAGTTGCAGAGATGTAATAAACTATGTCTTTTTTACTATGGGCAGGATCTCACAGGGGCTATTGCGAGAAATGTGGTAGAATTGCACAAGAAGTTCACTGAGGCCTATCTCTTTGTCATAGTTACATAGGATTTCATTTGTAAATTTGGTAAGAGCTATTCCTGTAAAGTGACAGATCAGAAATCTGATTGGAGGGATTCAAACACGGATTTTCAGAAAATGGGTATGAATTTTGGGAGGCAAGAACACTTCAGTGAGAGAAGGGAATTTGGAGTTTGTTTGTTAGTTTGCAAGTACAGCAAGCGATTAGGAAGGCCTATAGGATGTTGTGTTTATTACGAGCAGAGCAAAATATAAAAGTAGGGGAAATTGTATTGCAGCTATGCAGGGCTATGGTAAGACCACATCTGAAGTGGTGTGTACAGTTTTGGTCTCCTTATTTGAACAATAATAAAATTGCACGAGGAACTTTTCAAAAAAGGTTCACTCAATTCATTCCCAGGATGACGATCTTATTTTGTGAAGAAGGTTTGAACAACTTAGACCTTTAGCCATTGGACTTCAGAAGAATGAGTGGTGATCTTATTAAAATATGTGCAATCTTGAGAGGTTCTAGCAGGGTGCATTCTGAGAGAATGTTGCCCCGTGTAGAAGAGACGAAGACTAGGGAGCACAGTTTAAGAATGAAAGGTCTCATTTTTGAGGCAGAGATGATGAGAAGCTTTTTCTCTGAGTATCGTTAGTCTGCGGAATTCTCTTCCCCAGTAGACAGTGGAGGCTGGGAATTGAATTTATTCAAGGTTGAGTTAGATTGACTTTGTTGTCAAAAGAGTCAAAGGTTATGGGAGGCAGACCACGATCAGCCATGATCTTACTGAATGGTGGAGCAAGCTCAAACAGCCAAATAGACTATTCCTGCTCCTAACTCCCTTGTTACTATTCGACAGGATATTTATTTGCAAGGACACTGGGGTCAAGGTTGGGGTTTTGAGGATAGGAGTAATAACGGCAGATTTAAAGGAGAAAAGAGTCAATGTTAGAAATGCATGCCCCTTTAAGAGTAAACCAGGACAGTTCCAGAGTTAACTGAGAGTAGGTGATGTTGATTGAACTTTGTACTATAAGAGTCCACATTACAAAGAAGAGGAGGTGCTGGAGGTCTTAATATACATAAAGGTAGATAAATCCCTGGGACCTGATCTAGTGCATCCCAGGACATTGTGAGAACCTAGGGAAAAAATTGCGGGGCCCCTAGCAGAGATATTTGTGTCATCAACAGCCATGGGTGAAGTGCCAGAAGACTGGAGGGTGGTTAATGTTGTGCCATTATTTAAGAAAGACTGCAAGGAAAAGCCAGGGAACTACAGATCAGTGAGCCTGACATCAGTGGTGGATAAGTTATTGGAGGGGATTCTGAGAGACGGGAACCACATGTATTTGATCATAGAATCCCTACAGTGTGGAAACGGGCCATTCGGCCCAACAAGTCCACACCGCCCCTCTGAAGAGCATCCCACCGAGACCCACTCCCCTAATTTCCCATGTCTAACCCACCTAACCTAAACATCCCTGGGCACTATGGGCAATTTAGCACAGCCAATCCACCTAGCCTGCACGTCTTTGGACTGTGGGAGGAAACCGGAACACCCAGAGGAAACCCACGCAGACACGGGGAGAACGTGCAAACTCCACACAGACAGTCACCCAAGGGTGGAATCGAACCCGGGTCCCTGGCGCTGTGAGGCAGCAGTGCTAACCACTGAGCCACCATGTCACCCTCTTGTCTTTGGAAAGGCAAGGATTGATTAGGGGTAGTCAACATGGCTTTGTGCATGAGAAATTGTGTCTCACAAACTTGATTGACTTTTGAAGAGTGACCAAGAAGACGATGAAGGCAGAGCAATAGACATAGTCTACATATACTTTAACAAGGCCTTCAGCAATGTTTCACGTGGTAAAATGGTTAGTGAAATTTAATTACATGGGACTCAGGAAGAGCTAGCCAATTGGATACAAAATTGGCTTGTAGGTAGGAGACAGGGCGGTGGTAGAGGGTAGTTGTTCAGACTGGAGACTTGTAACCAGTGAGTGCGCAACAAGGATTGGTACCGGGCCCACTGTTATTTGTCATTTATATAAATGATTTGGATGAAATATAGGAAGCATGCTTATTAAATTTATGGATGATGGTATAAATAGACAGTGAAGAAGGTTATCTGAGAGCACAGTGGGATCTTGATCAACTGGGCCAGTGGGCTGAGGAATGGCAGATGGAGTTTAATCTAGATAAATACGAGGTGTTACAATTTGGTAAGACAAACCAAGGCAGTGCTTACACAATTAATGGTAGGGCCCTGGGGAGTGTTGTCGAATAGAGAGACCTAGGGGGTGCAAGTATATAGTTTCTTGAAAATGGAGTCATAGGTAGAACGGATGGTGACGAAGGCATTTGGCAGGCTTGCCTTCATTAGTCAGAGTATTGAGTACAGGGTTGGGCCATCATGTTACAGCTGTACAAGACATTGGTAAGGCCATATTTAGAGTAGTGTGTACAATTTTGGTCACCCTGCTATAGGATGGATGTTATTAAATTGGAAAGGGGGCAAGAAAAATTTACAAGGATATTACTGAAACTGTAGGGTTTGAGTTGTAAGGAGAACCTTGTCAGGCTGGGACCTTCCTCCTTGGAGCGTAGGAGGCTGAGGAGTGACTTTAAAGAGGTTTATAAAATTTTGGGGGACATAGATAAGGTGAATAGCTAAGGTCTTTTCCCCAGGCTAAGAGAGTCCAAAACTAGAGGGCATAGGTTTAAGGTGATGGGGAAAGATTTAAAATGGACCTAAGGGGCAACTTTTTCATACAGAGGGCGGTGCATGTATGGAACGAGCTGCCAGAGGAAATGGTAGAGGCAACTACAATTACAACCTGGGTAGGAAATATTTAGAGGGATATGGGCCAAATGCAGGTAAATGGGACCAGCTCAGTTTAGGAAACCTGGTCAGTATGGATGAGTTGGACCGAAGGATCTGTTTCTGTGCTGTATGACTCTATGACTGTAAAAGGCAAAATCCATCATAACTTGGTGTTTTTTCAAGCATTGGCTCAGCTTATTGAAATATTTATTTTTAAGCAGAATTAGGACAGTTATTTAATAAGGCAAGAGATGTTTGTGCATTTGGAGCATTCCACGGGTATGCACCTCCCCATTTAAAGTTCCAACAAAGTAAGTTCTGTGTCAAATACCATTATTGGTAAGGAGAGTGAACAGGAACTGCATATTTACTAATCACTGCTTTTAATTCTTAAAATTCTACCAATTAAACAAATGTTGTTTTCTCTTTACAGCAAAACAAAAATGAAACTAGTAATTTTTTAAATCCCATTTGGATCAGTGTGTCCTGGCAATGTGAATGATAAATAATATCTGACACATAGACCATGATTTGTAGTTCAGTTTTGTTCATTCGCAGTATACAGTAGCAATTACCAATTATATAAATTAATAACTATTTGTCATTTTAGAATATTTTATTTCTGATATTATATCTGATATCTTTGCCACCAAAAGGTCAATTATATTTGATTTGAGTTGATTTATTGTCATGTGTACCTAAGTACAGTGAAGAGCTTTTTTGTGAGCAGTACAGGCAGTTCATAATAAGCAATGACATACAGATTGTAGGCTGTTTGGACAGAGTGAGGCATATAGGTTACATGGAGTGTGCGAAGCAAGATCAACATTATCAAGATCAATATTATTTGAAGAGAGCCCAGTCATCAGTCTAATAACGTTAGGGAATTAAACAATTACTCCATTTGCCTTGCAATTCTCTTAGACATAAGATAGTTCTTTTTCAGTAAAAAAGCATTTTATATCTCACATTCTGTTTATACCCTTTTTATGAGTCAATATAAAGATGACTGTTTTAAGTTTTAGATTCCTTGCTGATGAACATTATCCCCAGTGCTATCTATAGTTGTCACATTAAAAATGAAGATATTAGCAAATAACTTTTTAAAAAATATGTAAAAAAATTTGCATAGAACCTTTCATAACCTTAGTTTGTCATTGCCAGTTAGCTTTCATTAGAATTGTAGTTGCTGACGTAATGTAGCAAATGATCTGTGCATAGTAAGGCCCCGCAAATAGCAATGATATGCATACCAGATAATTTCTTGATGGTATTGGTTGTTTGTCCAAACTTATTCCTAAATCTCCCCTTCCCTTCTCTGAATAATGCTATGGGATCTTTTGTCTGATATGTAAATTAATATCAACTATCGTATCAAGCTTAAAATAGGAATGTAGTGAGGCATGCCAACCAAATGTAGTGAGGCTGAAAATTTAACTTTGTGAAATAGTACGATAGTAATGTAAATAATGTGAAAGAAGTTGACATTTTAAAAATAATTATTTATGTTTTGGTTTCTGTCGTGGACAGTTTGTTTGAAGACGAAATTATGTCCTATGTGCCACCCCATGCCTTACTTCATCCTAGTTATTGCCAGTCTCCACGTGGCTCCCCTGTATCATCACCTCAGAACTCCCCAGGTAAATGACACATCATCTGACCATCTAATGATTAGAATGAGAAACTGTAATAGAATGTAAAAGCAAGAACAATATTTCCATGTTGGTATTTTGTAATAGCACTGATGATCTTTTAAAATATATTTCACCCATATTTATTACTTGCTTATTTGTGTTTAAGCCATATTTGTTATGTAAATTCTAAAGTAATAAAGCGTAAAAATTCAAAGGGAAAAGCAATCAAATAAAAGAAGAGAGATATAAAGGATTTGGAGGGAAAATTCCAAGAGATGGAAAAATTGCAATCCAAGGAAGTAAGGAATCTTAATTTGTCACGAGTCATTGAGCTCTATATATTTGTTACCTGTGCTCATGACATTAACACTGGTATTTTTCCAAAGTTAATTAAATAGGAGGATGGATGGAATCCGATAATATTGCAAACAACTTGAGGAGGATTAGAAGATTAACTGAAATGTGAGAACTGTCCTCCTAATGATATTTCTGTGTGTTATGAATAAAATGAAGGTCTCCCACTTGTCAGCTACACACAAGCAGGTTTATATTGTTAATTAAAGATTGGCTTTGATCAAGTGCAGTGTTTCAAACTTGAGGTGAAAATAAGTTGAGAGTTTTAAGACTGTGCTATTCTACAAGAGCTTTTAGGTAGGCCTTATTAGGGTTGCTTTTGCTATTTGCATTTTATTTTGAATGAAGTATCTAAATCTTTCTCATCTGGGAAATAAATTTAATTGCGTTGCATAGGTTTTTTTAGTGTGTGAGATCTGTTCCTGCAAAGAAACATAAAATTTATCTTCAAGTATGACATTTAAACAGTAGCTGTGGAATCAATTCTGTACACAGTGGGAAATAAAATTAAAATTAATCAAAACTATTTATAATCTTCTATGATCCAAGGCCTGCCCTCTGTATATCTCTTGTCACAAAAACAATTTATAGATGAATTGAGTCATCTATGCCTTGTTCAGTTGTTGGGTTAGAAGAGACTAAGTTCTTTCTTTGTTATGGAACATTCTCTTGTATTCTTATTCAGCACAGGTGACACATTAGAAAAATCCCAACTATAGTAGAAAATGCTGGAAATGTACATAATTTTTCTCATTATCTAACCATGAAAGATAGGTTGATATTTTGAGGTTGAATCTTGACAAGAAGCCAATTTAAATGAATTAGAAATGATCAATTAGGGTGTTACAACTTGATAGAAAATGCAATGGGAAGTGCTTTACTTATATTTGTTGTCAAACTTACCTCTGCACATTAATAATGGTATATATTATGATAAAATCAGTTTTGTTTGTTTGGGGAGAAAAAGGTTTTTTTGCCAAATTTTACATATTGCTGTTTGCAGGAACCCAACGTGCCAATGCTCGGGCTCCAGCTCCGTATAAGAGGGACTTTGAAGCTAAACTCAGAAACTTCTACAGGAAGCTGGAAACAAAGGGTTATGGACAAGGACCAGGAAAGTTAAAGTGAGTCATTAATGGGGAATACTGAGAAATAATTGGATTGATGTTTGTATTTTTAGGTCTATTCATAAATGTATGTAATTTAATAGAGGTTTTCTTCTGTGCTCATAAGATGTAGCTGTCAATGATGTCTCCAGTGCACCATTGTTCTTGTGACTCACATTGGCTACCGGTCACAACATGTTGAATTTAAAATTCTCATCATTGTTTTGAAATCCTTTCATGGCTTCTCCCTGCCTTACCTCGTGATCTCCCCTGGGTACAAACTTCTGAGATGTCTGCATTCTTTTTATGCATGCCTCATTGTAGTTACTCCACCGTTGGTGTTTCTGCCTTCTGATGCTTAGATCCCAAGCTCTCGAATGCCCTCCCTGCAACTCTCCACCATTTAAAAAAAACTTTTCCTTTTTTAAGGCGCCTCTTAAAGTCTACCTCATTGACCAAACTTTTGTTCATCTGACCAAATGTCTGCTTAGGTAACTTGACATTGTCCTTTGTTTTATATGCATTTTGTGAAGTGTCTTGGGATGTTTCATTATGTTAAAGATGCTATATAAATATAAGTAGTTGTTGTCATACGATGCTTGAAGGAAACAGACATTTTAGCTAATAAATGTTTACAGTGTGATTAATATAAGACACGTTATTGTTTTAAGTCAGGGATGCAGTCATCCTGATGCATTTTGTAACCTTCATTTGTTGATTATACTTTCCTGAGAGGTGGTTAGGTGATTTGCTCCCATGATTATACTCTGATATTAGACTGTAGGGTACCTGGAAGTGAGGCCTAAGGTGTTATTCATTCAGTATTTTTCTGCAAACCTCTTTCTTGTAAACAATTGGGTTCAAGTCAACTGTTTGCTAAGGGGAGAACAGAAATGAACATTGTTGAGCCCTGCAGTAATGAACCTGTGATGCAGTTTTTTGCTGTAACACTCTTAGCTCTGGGAAATCAGGCTGCCACAGGACATGCACCATCCTTACTTGACATTTAAATATATTTGGTTTGTGCTGGTTTTGTTCTTGCTCAGTAACAAACTGATGATTTTGATAATTCTGTGCAATTCAGGTTGATAATCAGAAGAGATCACTTGCTTGAAGATGCGTTCAATCAGATTATGGGCTGTTCCAGGAAAGATCTCCAAAGAAATAAGCTTTATGTTACATTTGTTGGGGAGGAAGGGTGAGTACATGAATAAATCAGCAAAGCGTCTGTATGGTAGAAATTTATGCAGAGTCAGTACTCTGGCTGCAATGTCAGAGGTGAGCCATGGGTGGGTCACACAGCAGTAAAATTTTAAAAATATTCTTTCACAGAAAGTGGCTGTTGCTGGTTGGGCCAGCATTTATTGCCCATCCCTAATGGCCCTCGAGAAGGTGATGATAAGCCGTCTTCTTCGGCTTTTAGGCCCAGTGACTGTGAAAGACGAGCAATGTATTTCCAAGTCAGGATGGTGTGTGGCTTGGAGAGGAGCTTGCAGGTGGTGATACTCCATGTTTTTGCTGCCCTTGCCCTTCTAGAGGTTGCACCATTAATTAGCTTGAGGAAGAACCTCTGTCCCCATTGGCAGGGTGGGGAGGTCCCAGTTCTGACAGTTGCTGTCTAATTAAATGACCATAACTTTCTAGTCCCAGCAGCACCACTGAGAGTGGAAGTCACTGCTAGGACTAGACGAACACCCAAAGCAGAGATACCATGCATTTGGATTGGTCCTGGGCCTGGTAAATCTGGAGTTTCACCAGGGCTAGTCTAGCAGTCTCCCACAGAGACATGGGGCAGGGATGCAAGGGCAAGTTTGTTTTGGCTTTGGGGAACTCTCCATCTGCCCCATTCAGCTTGGCAACACCTGGTGACAGATAATAGGCACGGCATCATTTCCATGGCATCCAAAGTTACTTCTGGGGCATGCTGAAGAAGGTGTAAAAGTCCAGCCGTATAATCCCAACCATGTTAAATGTAGAAATGAGATGGACATTGAATTAAAAACTTCTTCTTAACCCATAACCAGCTCTACCCATTGTATATATGATTTTTACATAACAGGGTAACAGCAATCAAGTACTCACACACCAAAGGCTCCTTTACCCAGCACCAATAAAATGACACTCAATCTATGTGGTACCATGCAAATTGATGTTGATTTCAAACACTATAAGCAAGAACAAATTGGTGTTCTCATACAGTCCTACACAATGGAAAATTTTATGTTGACAAAGTACAGTATATGAGGTTTATTTTACCCCGGGATTTAGTTTAATTGCCTGATTCATTCATTAAAAACTCAATTGTTTTTCTTACTGTACAGTACTTGTTCAGTACCTTTGCTATTTCCTGTTTAAATGATTTCTCATTTCTGGTTCATATTGTATTTGCTGTTTTCCTTTATATTTGTTCTGGGTAAAGCTGTTTTTCACCTTGCTTTAATTTTTCTTATCCTTTGACTTCACTTTTATTAATCACACTCTTTTTAGACTGAACTGTATTATTTTATGGTCACCTGTTCCCAATGGTAGGTTGCCTATTTGCTCCACTTCAGGACCAGGTTAATTGGTGCTTCCTTCCTTGTTCGAGTATCAACATATTGATGAGGAAACCCATGCTGAACACACTGCAAAACTGTCTTGTTGCGATAATATATTCTATCTGAGACCATTTTGAGACTAAATAATACTGTATATGCACCTCTTAAAACTATCTACAAATTCAATCTCAACTTCCTTTTCACTGTTCTGTGACAAAGTTCCAAGCTGGTTGAAGATTAAAGAATTATTCTCATTTTATTGGACTGATGGAAACTGGTGACCTCAAACTGAACAGCCAAGGATTAATTGGATCCGTACAAATTCCTCGTTCATTAATAATTGATGACCAGTATTTTGTTATTTTTTTTTAAACAGGAATATCTACAACTTCTAATAGAATGCAATTGCTTCTTCAATTGTATTTGCATTGAAAGTTCATTAAAAATGGAAACACTTGAGCAAAACCCAAATTGCAGTAGATTGTACAAAAAGAGACTTTCTTCTCTTGCAGAATAAACGCCTTCGGTCATGAATATGCAAATCATAGAATCCCTACAGTGCAGATGGAGGCCATTCAGCCTATCAAATCTGCACCAACCCTCTGAAGACATACACACACTACCCCCATAACCCCACATTTTTACTACAGTTAACCCAACTACCCTGTACACTATGGGGCAATTTAACGTGGCCAATCCACCTAATCTGCACATCTTTGGATTGTGGGAGGAAACTGGAGCACCCAGAGGAAACCCATGCAGACATGAGGAGAGCATACAACTCCACTGGGCTGCCTCATGGCTGGGCACAAGGAGGTCTTTGTTGAACACAATAGATGGTGCTCCTCCTTCGTATACCATACGAATCTCAAACCAGTTGATTTTGAATGCATGTGTTTGGAATTGCGCAACCATTTGATCTACTTGATCGCCCACACAGGTCATGCACAAGAACAAAGAGCCGTTGCTTCCAGGTGAGGATGGTCACAAACCTCTGAGGAGAAGGAGGGGACATTAGAGGAAGTGACATTGATGCAAAGAATCCATGCTTACTGGAAGTCTAAAACAAAAGCAGAAAATGTTGGAGCAGCACATTAGCCAGTGTTAAAAGATAATGATGTGAGAACATTCTGAATAGATTTGTAACTGTTTGAGAGTGAATAGCAAGATTGTCTCTTCCTATTGTACTGGCATCTGTAGATTCCAAAATATCTAGAGTGGCTTTAATTCAATATATGTCAAACTGAGCAATTAATAGTTCTATGGAACCATAGTTCATGTCATTCAGAAGAAAACAAATCAATTTCTCTTCTTTACCACCAAGGTAAAGCTGACATCTATGTTTCTTGGATGGGATACTTGCTTGGGAGCTATGAATTTGATAAACTCAGGCGGCCTTCATTAACAAACACAGAAGAAGTGACATTGCACATCTTTGGTTGTGGGTTCTACTGTTGAATAAATGATGTAATTAACTGCACTCTGGCATTTAAATTTAGCTTTAATTTCCACAAATTGTAGTGCGTAGGATACATTTTCCAATGGCTTGGATTTCTTGTGAGAAATACAATGAGGCTAATGGCCTGTCTCCACTATTGTGGAGGAAATTCAACAGCAACTTCCAGAGCTTACAAGTACGCAGTTAAACCTGGAAATTCATAAGTTGCTGTGGGGGTAACTCTACTCGAGAACAGGCTATGCTGCACCGGTACTGATGCACTCAGCGTTGAAATCCATGTAACAGGGAAAAGTTACCCACTTGTAAACCATTAATCATGTCTGAAAAACATAGTGCTGACATAGTCAAGTATAAGTGATCTTTTAGTGGTATGATAAGTTATAAATAGCACCAAATGACCCCTCTGGCTCAGATTTTACTGAGTCAGGATGACTCGGGAGCCTTTTATGTGATGGGCAGGACCTGATTCCAGGATTTCTGCCTGCATTCCCATCTCTGGCAATTTTCACTAGTACTTAATAAGGGTATGCGCAGTTAGTCAGCATGTGACATGCCCGCCCTTGCTGGATCCATTATGAGGGTGGCAGGCTAAAAACCCTTCTCAATTTTAATGGAGCCAGGTCCCTTTAGTAAGTGGATGTGGTTCATAGGTTCTTAAATGGGGCATGAACAATGGCGAATCCAGTTCCAAGTAAGGAAGCAAAAAACATGTCGCCTATTCCTGGAAATATTTCATTTACAGTCTTTGAAGCACACAAAAAATACTTTTCTTTCGGTTTCAATGGTTCAATTGTAGGATTATAGGTTGGATGTATTTTTACTACTGTGCTTGGGATAATTGTAATAATAAAAAGGAGATCTAAATGTGCTTTAAAATATATCTTTAAAAAACTGTCAGAAGTTGTCAGTTAGAAATTAAAAGTTCCCACCCACTTGTGAAATGTGTCAACTGACAGGCCATTTGGTGCAGTTTAAAAGTTTAATCTTCTGTTTTTGCAATTTCAGTAGGTTTCGTTGCTTGTGAATTGCAAATTGATATTCTAACTGAAACCGTGATGAATTCTTGATAGAGTTTCAAAAGTCTGGAGCCACTTGCCTTTAGTATTTTGATGTACTTAGTAAATAAATGCTTGTTTTTATAACAGAGTGACCACTTGGGGGATTTTAATTCTTACAATTTTTTAAAGAAGTTTTCTTTTGTTACAATCTGGAGTGTTTGAATGAGATTGGATTATTAGAAGTTTACTTATTTTTGTTATGTATTTCAAAGACATTCTGAGCTCTGCCTGTAGTGGCTACTATGTGAGTGGCTATGGAAGATTCATAGGGGACATGGGTTTGCATGATTGGGCATGGAGAATGAGTGTGCAAAGAGCGATATAAGAGAGCATCGAGAGGTCACAGGAGCGGTGCAAGAAGTGGCTGGATTATGAGGGCTTGAGACCCAACAGACTTTTATGCAACGAGTTGGAAGTCCCAGAGGACTCTGCTGGGCCTTCCAACTAGCCTGCCAGGGCACTTAGATACTTCCTTTGGCACCCCTGTAAACTGCATCTGGATGTGCTGTGTCTGAGTCCATCCTGCCCACAGTTCCTTGGTGCAATAACATAATGGATAAAAATCATTTCCAAGAAGACAGATCCATTGAAGCAAAAGATTTCTTGTCTTTCTCTTCTCTTCCAGGAAAAAAAAATCCAGCCAGTGGTGTCTCATTTTTTCAGAAGTTAATTGTTCATTTTGGTGACATTATATACCACATCCTCAGTACATACTATGGCATGATGGATAATTAGAACAGAAGGAATTAAAAAGCAAATTACTGGCATTCTTCAGTCTGTTGTACATCATCCTAAAAATTTCATGTCTGTCTACAGGGCTTTCCAAAACTACTTTTGTTTGGAAGTACAGCAGTCAGTTAAATAAGAAGCTTTAAATATAATTTTATTGGCATGTAACTTTTGATGGGTTAAAGGTTTTTGTTTTCATGAACACGGTATGTCATTGGTATTAAGTGCAATTAAGTATTTGCAGTAATACGTTTCCTTTCATTCTTTCCACCCCTTTATTGACTTTATTATAAGTACACTTTCTCAGTCATTTTTCACTCATCTGCTTGGAATGTTGTATTCATTTAGATCACCTCAGTTACCATTACATTGCTTATTTCAACATTATTGAATGTCCAGAATTAAATTCAGCCCTGAAGGCCTTAGCATTCTAACGTGTGATTAAATTATTAGGGATAAAGGAGGTTCGGTGTTCTATGTGTGCTACCTTTTGGTTTATACTAATTGAATACCTTATTACAGAGTGATTGACAAGAAATAAGAAACTGCTGATTTACATTCTCAGTGATGGAAAACAAAGGAAAGCGTCTTATTTTATGAAAGTAATTACTTTAAATATTTGTGTCACTAAGTAATGAAATGGTGAATCGTATTTCTTCTTTTAGATTGGATTACAGTGGCCCTTCTCGGGAGTTCTTTTTCCTGGTGTCCAGAGAACTCTTCAATCCATATTATGGCTTGTTTGAATACTCTGCTAATGACACTTATACAGTGCAAATCAGCCCTATGTCTGCATTTGTAGACAATCACCATGAATGGTAAGCACTTCTCTTACTGTTTTCAGGATTTATGAGTAATTTTTCAAATTAAAAATGGACTCCAAAACATTTTGTTGGTGTAACACAAAAATGCTGAACCTATAAAAAGGTAATAACACTTTGGTGGAGCTAAATCCACAGATATAATGAAATAAAAATTGATTATTTTAAATGTTCAATGCACTTTCATCTGAAACACTCACCTGATCACTCCAGAGATGACCAGTGGCAGTGGATTAAAAATTTTCAATGAAATTGAACCTCATTGGTTGTCTTTTCAAGATCTGGTAACTGGCCTGCTCCAAGACTTGTCTGCAGTCTTTAATTAGAAAGTCATTCCCCTATATTTTGACATGCTGCTTCATACAACAAGAGAACAGACCCTTCGGTCCAAATTGTCCAGGCGAGAACCATTTGCCTGCATTTGGCCCATATCCCTTTAAACCTTTCCTATTCATGTACCTGTCCAAATGTCTTTTAAATGTTGTAACTTTACCTGCAGCTATCACTTCCTCTGGCAGTTCATTCCACGTAGGAACCACCCTCTGTGTAAAAAGGTTGCCCCTCAATCTTTCCCCGCTCATCTTAAACCTATACCGTCTAGTTTTGGGCTCCCCTAACCCTAGGGAAGAGACCTTTGCTATTTACCTTATCTATGCACTTTTTCAGTGGGGAAGTGTTGAGAAGCCTGGGGAAGGGAACAAGTTTTGAAGGCCAGTCAGGAGGCACAAAGGGCAGCACCACATTGGGGGTGTCCCCAATGCAGACGTTGCATTCATCCCTGCCCCTGAGTGATGTACTCCTCTTTCCCATTTTTTAAGCAATTGCGTTAAAAAAACAGCCTTCTTACCTTTGCTGCCTGCCAGTGCCGGATGTATTGGGAACAGCGGTGGATTGAGGGCTGAAGTGAACAATAATTGGTCACTTAAGAGCCTTTATAGGCCTCATAGAGGGTAGTCCAGTGCGTGCTCTACCTACTGGTTATGTTATGGCGACTGGGCCCAGGGGTGTTTGGGAAGGTAGTGGACTAGCCAGCTACCTTACTTAATATACCTCTTGATAATAATGCACCTGGTGACGTGCCGCAATAAGATTCAACACTAAAAGATAGAAATCTATCCTTCCAAAAGAACATTGTGATGGTTTGGCAGAATTCTATTTTAACATAGAATCCATTATAGTTTTTAAAGAGGAAGTGAATGGACACATTTTCAAAGGGTTGGGCCATGGGATTTAACTAAATACATTTCTATCAATGAACCAGCACGGTGCAATAATACAAATAACCTCCTTTCTGAACAATAAACATCTTTGATTTTAGAGAGGTGAGGGTCATAAAATTGATGTTTCTGAGGTTAGACTCAAAAATTAGATCTCCCTTTTGGAATCAGTGGTCTAGATTTTCATTCCAGAGTCCAGGGTCTTGTTGCTGGTCCAAATTCCAGGTTAAGACCCAGGGGATGCTGGTGGCAGACCCTAGAAACAATTAAATGCCTGTCACCATGACCTCTGTAAGATTAAGAATGGCTGGTGGGTTTCCAAGGGTGGAGGGCCAACAAGAGGATCAGATGCAGGAGCTGCTGATGTAGGTCAGTGAAGGAGATGCTGTCCCAAGTTGGAATCAGCACCAGTGAAATGGAAGGCTCTTTCCTTGTGAAAATGACCACATCTCCAACTTGTTTTTAAACCCTTTGTGTTTTTCAATGTATTTGCTTTTAATCTAAAGTATTTGGAATTGAGTGCAAGGGAAACTTCATTACGGCGGCACAGTGGTTCAGTGGTTAGCACTGCTGCCTCACAGCGCCAGGGACCTGGGTTCGATTCCAGCCGTGGGCGATGTCTGTGTGGAGTTTGCACGTTCTCCCCATGTCTGTGTGGGTTTCCTACGGGTGTTCTGGTTTCCTCCCACAGTCCAAAGATGTGCAGGCTGGGTGGATTGGCCATTCTAAATTGCCCATAGTGCCCAGGGATGTTTCGGTTAGGTGGGTTAGACATGGGAAATGTAGGGGAATGGGTCTGGGTGGGATGCTCTGTGGGTCGGTGTGGACTTGTTGGGCTGAAGGGCCTGTTTCCACACTGTAGGGATTCTATGAAACATTGTCAGGTGAAGGAATTCATTTTCAAGTCTAATCTAAGGCAGTAACTATCTCAATATCCATCAATATAGATTGGACAGGTAGGTGAGGAAGCAGTGATAGAAACAGAGTGAATAAATGTGATTAGGTCAATTGGTTAAGTGAAGTTTAAATGCTGATATATATATTACATATATGTAATGTTCAACTATTTCTATGTCCAGGTGGCTAGGTGATATGCCTTTAAATATATATATCAAAGCAATAAGTAATTTTGGTGTCTAATAATACCATAACATTCATAAGCATTGTGAACATTGAGTGGGTTTCTGCATATGCTTGTAAGCTTATATGGCAGGAGCACCCTTTTCTCAGATTTAACTCAGCACTGTTCAGTTACACGAAGTCTAAAAGCATGCAACTGCAGCACTTGAAGAATAGAAACATTATCAGTGGCCACTGGATGGCACCAAAATACTACATGTTTGAAAGATTAATGCTCTGAAATGATATTCCAAGAGAGGCAGAAGTGTTATACTAGCTATAGAATGGAGTCAGCATTGCACTCTAATTTTCTAACATGCATGCTATGCCAGCCTGAAAATCAGCATTACTTTTATTTCCTAAAAAATCAGAAACTAGGTTCTTTGAAGCTTTAACCCAAATGAATTTAAGATGTAGGTCCATCTTAAGCGACAAATTTGTCCATTTCCCAGTTCACTGATGTCCTTTCCAAAGAATTTCCAATGCGGAACCCCCTGATTGACAGCCACGGGATTCTACAACACCCAATGCTAGCCCAATGTTTGGCAGTGGCGAGCTGGTTGTGTAGGAGAACATAACCAAGAGATCCTCTTCCCATATACAGTGCAATAATGAAACAGTTGACTATGAAGTAAACACTACTTTTTGTTCTGAAAGGAATAAAAATATTTTGTGCGTACATAACAATAAAATAATATTTTTGACACTTTAATGAAGAGAAATATGTACCTGAATTCCCATGTAGCTCTAGGTTTCTTCTGGCAACTCCCAGGCCATCAGACAACAGGAACATGCCTGGTGGCCAGGACCAGTAATCTCGAGGTCTGGGGAGACTGAATTAAATTCTTGTCTTGGGAAATTGATTCCAATATATATACAGAGTAAATCCTGACATTAGCAAAAATTACTGAAGCAGCTTGATTCGTTAAAACAGACCCACGACTGTCTTTAAGGGAAGAAACCCTCCTGTTCTTAGCCAGTCTGATCTATTTGTGATCCCAGTTTCATATCAAAATGGTGACTTTTACCTGTCCATTGAAATGGCTGAGCCACCAGGGCAGCTAGTGATGACCAACATCTCTAGAATTAAATTTAAAAATCCTGCCATCAGCCTTCAACTAACAGGCTTCGTTGATTCCAAATAATAATCTTTCTGTCTTGCAGGAACTGACTCATTGCATTATTTTTACTATGGTGGCATTAGCCTGTTGGGAACTTGTCCTGGTTGCTATTCTTATCTGTAGGCACCTGAAGCCCAATTTGCTATCACTTTGATTTACTCGATTTAGATTCATGGTCCAAGTATCTAAATGCAAGAAGCTGCTTCATTGTTTATAGTGGGGGATACTGAGCCCATATATTTGGCACCTGGATTTTGCTGTTGTCTATAATCTCATAAGATCATAAGAACATGTTGTCTCTGCAGTGAGCATCATCATCAAGATTACCAGCAGCATTTAATGTATCTCATGATGCCTGTTAGAAACTTTCTGCTCTTAATTTTTTTTCCATCAATAGAAATATTGCCAAATTCTAACAGCATCTTCATGAAACTCACTATCTTGCTCACAAGGGACGTGATCATGTATTTTTCAGAGGCAGTGTTTTTATCTGTGAAGCTACTGCCACATAGGGATTGAAAGTGGTGTTGCACATAGTTCACAGTTTATTTAAGATGTGTATTGTTTTATGATACTTGAATTGATCATAAGTCGGTCCATTTTAATCCAAAACTTTGAGTTTAACATTTTGTGCTTATTGTAATTGAACAATAAACTTAATAAGTAAAATCCAAGTTGAAATTGCCATGACAATACTTTTCAAAATATTTTAACAAAGATTTTAGTTTACATTAATACAAAAACTGATCAATTTCAATATTGTATGTAATACCTTAAAGGAAGAGTAAGAAATCAAATATTTATACAGGGAATTTCAGAGTTTAGAATCTAGGCAACCAAAATGGTAGCCGCTAAACAAATGCAAGTGTTTTCTTGTGCTGCCAGTGCAGCAGTCTAAGTATTGCTAGTGTATGAATAAGGAGTCTCAGACATGACATGGATACGTCAATAAAAGAAAACTCTCTGATTGCAGATAAATTGCTACTATTCAAAAGTGACTTAAACTTTGGAACTGCTTCCATTTTAGGTTCAGATTCAGTGGTCGAATCCTTGGTCTTGCTCTTATCCACCAGTATCTGCTTGATGCCTTCTTCACAAGGCCATTTTACAAGGGCCTGCTTAGAATGTAAGTGTTTATGTTATAAGAAGGGAAAGTTATTTGACATATTACACTGAAATGTGAAACTGTTACAGTGTCAAAATGTAACTTTCATTGACTTGTGTATCGTCTACACTTAATGCTGTCTCAAATGCTCATCAAGTCATAAAGATGCCTTTAAACATATTCTTTTTGCAGGATTTGATTTTTTTTTCATGATAACGTGTTTGTCTTAGAACCAGGAATATATTGATTACTACTGGCACAGATATTTTTCAATGCACATATCCTCCTTTCAGACAAAATGAGGAACATTTTAGTAACAATAATACTGATTCAGATTGCATCAGTTAGGTAGTGACTTAGACTTGGAGAGTTAGAAATTGTTTTGCACTTTTTAATGCTTCTCAATGAGCTGCAGGAATGCTGTTTTGGACCATAGAGAAGTAAGAAAAGTTGATTCTCAACAGATCAGAATCTGGCATTTCTCACTCCATCTTCTGTGCTTTCACTCACTGTTCCTGTTTAATTTCACCCTTACCCCCCTCACTCTACCGCTCTGTTTTAAAACTAGTAATTATGTTTAATAAGTTTATCAATGAAGCAAGTTAATTACTGGAATCGTATAATCTGGGATGCTTTAAGTGGTGTTCTTTTATCCCAATGTCTACTTTGTTATTATGATTTGATTTTCACTGCCAATTTCATAACTTAAATCTTCATCGCATTTACATCAGACTGAGAGTCCAAATTCAGCCTCTATTCATGCTTCTTCAAAGAAGGATAAGATTATTTAGATCACATTCATCAAAGAATACTATCTAATTTTTGAGTGGTTCTTTAACAAGTATGACAATCATTTTGACAACCATAGGGCCAAAATTACACCATTCATCTACTGATGGTGCATCTGGGGCTTTTCACTGTCCCTATATCTTTTTTCACTATAAGGACATAAGTTGAACCCATTTCTGCTTGTATTTTGATGATAGCATTTGTAAAGGCCCTGGTAGCACCATTAAGAAGGGACAGCCAAGTATTTTGATTAAGGTTCTCTGTATGTTTGGTTTGTGCACTTCAGATTTTAAACCGGGCTAATTCTGCCTATCACTACCAATGCACGTCTTCTCTTAGATTAGCCCTCTAGACTGGGAGGGGAAGACCCACTTTGTGAATGTTGACCTACTTTCAACTAATAACTCTTGAAAATTTTTATATTTGTAACACATAATTGATAATTCTTAGTTTTCCTTTGGCTTCAGTCCTATTTAGATACATTGACTCACCAAGGAGTATCTTTAAGATTGCAGCCCTTTCAAAAGATTCCTTAAGGTGAATAGGCTAACATCAAGCTTTAGAGAGTTCAGATAAATGGGTGAGGAATTGTGATTCATGGGTGACGTTACAGCAAATTTAGTTTTGTATTGAAAAATGTAAAATCTCCATCTATTTCTGCCAAATGATGGGATAAAGATTACCGATTTATTTCAGTATTGATAAATTTATTTAGACTTACTTTTCTGAAGCGAAGTTACTTGGAGGTATTCTTCTGTCTTCAGCAGGATGAGACAAGCTCTGTTGCATTAAATAATTGTATGATTTCACCTTAGCTCAGTGGGGTCATTTTTGAGATAGATGGTCATTACTAGTGGCAAATTCTTTCTGATGATCATTTATCTTGTTTCTATTTGTTTTACATTTGATTTGTGTCTTTCCATTGTAGAAACAAAAATAATGCAGCCTGCTGCATTTTTTTTCTAAGTGTCCCAAAGCAGGAGATCATTCAATCTGAACAAGTGTTTATCTTAAAAGTAGCTTTGTCGTTTTCTATTCTGTGAAGCGGGAGAAAATTAGGTTGGTAAAGTTTCAACAGTTTCTTAGTAATTACATTGTTCCTGGGTTAATGTTAGGCAGTGCTTTCATTGCAGCTGATTGTTATGCATTTGAGTTCTCCAGACATATCTGGGGCTGGATTTTCATGATCATGATATGTAGGTTAAAAAGTCCTAACTCAGTAGGCACTGTTATGCGCAGTCATCACTACAGGGTGGTGAGGGCAGGAACAACCCCAGAAGGGGATCATAGGCACCCATTGTCAGTGAGGTAGTTCATGTGCCTGCTTCAGTTTTCTGGGCCTTTGTTTCTCATTTGTATTAAAAACAGCTAGGTCCTCTATCCTTCACCCCTCACACAATTTCACCCTGCCACTTATTCCCCATGATCCATGCAAGTCCTTCTCCACATCTTCTATGGCATCTATGCCTAGTAAGCACTATCTAATTAGCTATATGGTGGCAATGGCAAGTGTTAAAATTCTGAAAAAGAATAAAACACGTATTTAGAAATCTGCTTAAAACAAGTCTGCTGTTCCTATAATCCTGTAAAGTGTCAGTCAAATAGGGCCATTATATTATTATTAAAAGGAACTTTATCCACTTCACACTTCTTAATCTTGTTCAAGTAAACATACAGACATTGAGAAAAGGGACCTGAGAATAATTCATTGTAATCTCATAAAGATATCAATCAAACAAAGTAAACACTTTAATTTGTCCAGACAGACTTGTTCCAATGCATTTTTGAGTTTTGGAGTTCATCCAAACATTCATAATGCACTCAGATGGAAGACCAAATGTTAGGCATCTGTTTCTGCTGATACAGTTCCTGGAGGGATACAAATTGAAATGGGGTGTCTACATTGCTTGATTAACCTTTTTATGGAGTTATGGAGGAAGCATAGAACTGCCACTGGGGTCATGTATAAAGTTAGCTTCTAAAAGTTTGCCACATACAGACTTTGGCTCACAGCACCTGTGATGGGCCATGAATCACATGCCATCCAGAAGCTGACCTGACTTTACAGCTGTTGTGGAGGTCTGTGAAATGTCTACCTTGTCAATGGAGCTGGCCGGGTCAAGAATACAAATTGCAGATTCTTTAACTGCACCATTATCCCATACTGGTGAAAATTTTGCAAGGACTGGAGCAGGAGTCGAAGATTTGGCACCGGTGCATTTTTAAATGACTCCAGAGTCAGCCTGACATCTCAAAAAATCTATCAGTCTATGACCTTATATTCAGTGTTATCAGTGCCACCTTGAGGTCCAGTACAGCCACAACATGACATCCCAACTCCTATACTCCATACACTGACCAAGAAAGGCAAACGTACCAAATACCTTCTTCACCACCCTGTCTACCTGCGACTTCACCTTCAAGGAGCTATGAACCTGCACCCAAAGGTCTCTCTATTTGGCAACACTCCCCAGGACCCTAGTATTAAGTGTATAAGTCCCACCCTGGTTTGCCTTACCAAAATGCAACAACTCACATTTATCTAAATCAAACTTCATCTACCTCACCTGTGGCTATTGATGATACAAATACCTCAACAACGGACTCAGCAATCACTTCCCAAGCTTCCCACAAAGTTCTGGGATACACTTGATCAGGTCTTGGGGATATATCCACCTTGATGCATTTTGAGATGTCTAGCACTTCCTTTTCTGTACTGTGGACTGTTTTCAAGATCACTATTTATTACTCCAAGTCCTCTGGTTTCCATATCCTTCTCCACATAAATACTGGCATGAAATACTCATTTGGTATCTCACCTACCTCCTGTGGTTCCACACACAGGCAGCTTTGTCACCCTTAAGGAGCCTTTTTCTCTCTTAAACAGTTATGTACCTTCAAATTGTCTGAAGGCAAAATGAGTTAACTGCAGTATCCACCAGTTAATTCTGAGCTGCTTACTTCACAAAAGGCAAAATCATTTGGGTTCTGATAGAAGAAACATGAAATGTGCATGAATATTTTCTGTTGGCTTACTATTGCAAAAGAAAGTGGCTGTATAGTAGCTCCCTTTGCTGGGCCTGTAATTTAATGTAACTTCCTGAGCAGGGCTGGGACTCACCAAAAAGACAGCTGCACTTGACAAATTTTCTGGATTGTGTTATAAGTCACATTACAAACTGCTCAAGTTTAAGTTTTTTTTAAAGTATGGTAGTAAAATAGCCAAAGAATCTTGGGTAATTACACTGATCCTCAGTGAGCATCCAGAAATGCACATTGTAAACTTCAGAGAATATTCATTAGTCACAGCCCAACCAAATGTTTGGAAGACTTATTACCTATCTGAAAATTTAGGATTTAGGATTTAGATAGTTTTTTCTCTGATTGCAGAGCTTCTACTAAGAAAATAATAAGACCATAAGACATAGGAGCAATAATTAGGTCATTTGGCCCATCGAGTCTGCTCCGCCATTCAATCATGGCTGATAAGTTCCTCAACCCCATTCTCCTACTTTCTCCCTGTAACCCTTGATCCCCTTGATAATCAAGAACCTATCTATCTCAGTCTTAAATGTACTCAATGACCTGGCTTCCACAGTGTCCTGTGGCAGTGAATTCCATAAATTCACCACTCTCTGGCTCAAGAAGTTTCTCCTTATCTCCATTCTAAAAAGTCTTCCCTTTTACTCTAAGGCTGTATCCTCGGGTCCTAGACTCTCCTACCAATGGAAGCATCTTCCCAACATCCATTTTATCCAGGCCATTCAGTATTCTGAAAGTTTCAATTAGATCCCCCCTCATTCTTCTAAACTCCAATGAGTATGGTCCCAGAGTCCTCAAACATTCCTCATATGTTAAGCTTTCCATTCCTGGGACCATTCTCATGAACGTCCTCTGAACCCACTCCAGGGCCAGTACACCCTTTGTGAGATATGGGCCCCAAAACTGCACACAATACTCCAAATGTGGCCTGACCAGAGCCTTATAAAGCCTCTGTAGTACATCCCTGCTTTTATATTCAAGTCCCCTCAAAATAAATGCCAACATTGCATTTGCCTTCCTGACTATGACTCAACCTGCAAGTTTACCTTGAGGGAATCCTGGACTAGAACTCCCAAGTCTCTTTGCACTTCAGACTTCTGAATTTTCTCCCCATTTAGAAAATAGTCCATGTTTTTATTCTTCTTACCAAAGTGTATGACCTCACACTTTCCCACGTTTACTCCATCTGC